CCATCTCAGCCCATGCCTAGATCAACAACAAAAAAAAAGCAGTGAGATAATCTCCCTAGACACAAAATGTGAATTTTAGAGGAGAAGCTGAGAGAAAGGATGAGAACCACAACAACATTTAAAATAGAATTAAAGACGTGAACAAACAAGGCTTTAGATGTCTACACACCAATGCAGAACAAACAAGACAAGCTTCAAGTCTTATTGCAGGAAGGTAAATATGATTTTATAGGTAGAACAGAGACATGGTGGGAGTAGTCTCATTATTGGAATATAACAACTGAAGGCTATAATCTGTTCAAAAAGAATAGACAAGGAAGAGAGGGCTGAGGAGTAGCATCATATGTCAAAGATAAATTTACTTGTACAGAAATCCATGTGGGTGATCAAACTGGACCAGTTGAGAGCATTAGATAAAAAGAAATGGGAAAGAAATTAAAACAACATTGTAGTAGGAGTTTACTGCAGGCCATCAAACCATGAGGAGATAGTGGATGATGCTTTTCAAAAATAAATCTCATCAATTACCAAGATGCAAGAACTGGTAGTTATGGGAGATTTCAATTATTCTGACATCTGATGAGAGACTGCTAAGCGTAGGTTGTCAAACAAATTCCTGATGTGCCTTCCAGAAAATTTCCTCTTTCAAAAGGTGGACGAAGGAACAAATGCATCAGCAATTCTGGACTTGATTCTAATGAACAGGGATTTGGTCCCTGGAATCAAAACAATTGGTCCTTTAAGGGGAAGTGGCCATGTAATACTGATTGTGAGATAAGCTAAAGGAGATTATAGTATAGTCAAACATAAATCTTGGATTTTAGGAAAACTGATTTTATCAAGCTCAGAGAAACATTGGGTAGAATCCCATGGCTAGCAATTGTAAAAGTGACAGACGCCTAGCATGGGTGGGATTTCATGAAGAAGGAGCTGCTAAAACCACACTCACAAACAATTCAATGGAAGAAGAAATGAGAGAAATATCTGAAAAAAAGTTAACTTTAAGAAGAAAGTTAAAAGAAAAAAGAGCATGTATAAAGAAAGGATGGAAGAATAAATCATCAAGAAAGAATACAGATGTGTGGTCCAAGCTTGCAGAAATAGTGTAAGGAAAGCTAAAGCCCAAATTAACTACAACTAGTTAGTGAAGCAGGGAACAACAAGAAGAGTCCCCCCCCCCAATATGTTTGAAGCAAGTGAATGACCAGGAAAATAGTAGAACCACTGCTCATCAAGGCTGGTAAAATGCTAACAGATCACCAAAAAAAAAAAAAAAAAAAGGCAGAACTGTTCAATTCTTAGGGCTTATTCCCACTTGCATTTAAACCCATTTGCAAGTTGCATTGACATGTGGTCACTGAATCGATTCATAACGATGCATAGTTCCCACTATCGGAAGCGAATTATTTCATTATTCCATGCATTCATGGCTTTTTAACATGATTGTCATTCACACTAGATTTGCACGGCTACAAAATGTATCAAAATATAAAATGTACTAAATGTGCTGCTACAAAATGCTCAGTATCAAATGCGATTGATCCATCCTGGTCATATGTTGTGCAGCTATGCGTCATCGGTGATGCAACCAGGAGACCCATTACTTGCTCTAGAGAACCCAGAGAAATGCGACTGATCACAAAATCTGTCATTTAATTAAAAAAAAACTAAACACACCCCCCTAAGGAAAGCACCCCCAGACTTGTCCTACCTCTTGAAAATATTTCGGCACAACTGGGGAAAAATGCAAAGACAACTGGATCAGGACTAGTGAGATTTACAGGGAGTACTTGGCAGTGTTTAAAATCTAAAATCGGAAGTCCCCATGGTAGTCAAAAGATAGCATTGAGGCAGCGCTGAGGAGGAAAAAATGGGAGATTTCCCAAAACCTGGGGCTGGATGAGTTACACCCCTCTGCCAACCATCTGCCATATAGTCCCTCCCCTCCACTGCAATGTGATTGAGATTTAAACGTCATTCACATTTGTTGAACACTCTTGCAAAACAATTATTTTCAAAAGACCCACCAAAAGATCTGTCTTCAAATAATGCAATTCTTTTGCATTTACCTCACTTCACCTCGATTCTCTATGATTCAGACCAAACAGACAGGTCTGAAATCACTTCCAGTGTGAACGAGGTACATATAAATCAATCAACAAATCAGTTTTAATCATAGTGGGATTGAGCCCTTAGTTTGCTTCAGTTTTTTTTCTCCAAAAAGAAGATTGTATGCTTTCATGAATCAGCAGAGGCCTTGGCAAGGAATCCAGGTTGCAAATCAAGAATGATATTTTTGTATACTAAAGAATTTTTAAACATTAGAAAACATATGAGCAATACAATTAACCAAAGAAAATAAAGCAAGAAATAAATAAGAGAAAGAACAAAGAAAAAGAAAGAACAGAGATCTGGGGGAAAAAAAATTTACATTGACTCTGGACTTTCCTCATGATGGTTATAACTATTAATATCAAAGTCTCACTCCTCCAATATATATATATATATATATATATATATATACTTCTAGCACTTAACCAATCCTACTAATTATCAAAGCCAATAGTTAAGGTGTTATTTTCATTTTCTGCCAAAGTCAACCAAGGACTCCCAATTTTTTTTTAAAAGCCACCAATGATTTTTCTCTAATAAGAACAGAAACTTTTTCCATCTTTGCCAGATCAGACTTTTAACCAGTCCTCTTTTGTTGGAATTTTGGTATTTCTTCATTTCTGCATGTACAACAACCTTACTTCATATATTGTAGAAATCTTGCATATTTATTCTCCATCTGGCCATCTATCATCCCAATAAGAACAGTTCCAATTTCAATTGAATATTAATATTTTAAAAAGTATTATGCCATGAATATGAACCCAAAATCTTTTTGCTTTCTCACAAGTCCACCACAGATGACAAAATATACTAGATATCCCTTTCTGCATTTTTAGCCAATCTTTCTGGAGTCAAAAATGAATGGTACATCATTTTATTAAAATTCTCCTAAGGATCATAACAAAATGTAAATTTCAAACATTTCACCCACTGTTCCAACTGTATATCATAGCCAACATTTTGTGCTCATTTTAACCTGTTTTTAAAGCAGTGTTTTATCTGTTCATCAAGTGCACACCATCTGTACATAACTGAATTTCAAACTAAGACTTATTATAGTAAAAACTATGGATTTTTTGGTCTACTTTAAATCTTTCAAAAATTGTCTATAGGGATACCATTGTAAAGTAAAACCCAATAATAACAACTCATCCTTTTATTTAATTCTATATTGATCTTGATCACATTTTAGAAGATCTTAGTAAGTTAATCACTTTTCTTTTACTGTTGCTTCTTTTTCATAAAATACTTTTTGTGTTGAAACCCACAAAAATATCTTTGGACAAAACCTTTGTTTGTATGTATTTCAAATTCCTAACAAGGCACATCTCACAAAATGGTAATTAAAACCATAGTTAATGGTTATTAAAATCTACATTAACTTTGACTTTATTATAGTGAAAGTATCAGCTCTAATGCCAACTCTAACTCTAGCAATCTTTTATTACTCAACATTCTCCAGTCATTCAACCCGATCAAACAGCATGCAAAAAAGTATGTTTTCAAATCTGGCAATCCCAGTTCCCTTCTTGTCTTTGCATCTTGTAAAATCTTAAATTTCATTTTCAGTTTTGCAAAGTAAACCTCAACAAGTCTTTCAGCCATTGCTTAAACAGCACCTAATTTGTCAAAATAGGTATAGTCTGAAATAAGAATAACATTCTCAGTAAAACATTCATCTTAACCATTGAAGTTCTCCCTGGCAGTGAAAAATTCAGTTATTTCCCATCTTTCTCAATCTTTTAATTTAATTCCATATCTTAACAGTTATTTTGAAATAACATGCAGTTTATGTTTTTCATAGTGATACCTAAATATTTCCATTTTTCTCAATTTTAACAATATGTATGTTGCTAGGATAGTATCACAACTAGTAAGCAGAGTAGAAAAGTAGATTTCCCCCCATTTGATTGCAACAGGATATTGCTAAGTTGCTTTTTTTTTTTTTTTACACTATTACAGCTATGCATCAGGTTGGTGATGTTAACTTTAAAATCAAAGCAAAACAAAACAAAACAAAATAGCCAGCCCTAATCTACCATCTGAAATGCAAGGGTCAGATACAAGTAAAGGCATTCACAACTGCCACTCCCCACTGACACTAGCTTTAGTCACTTCTGCTCTAGAAGCCATAATTGATCTCATAATTTGCATTTGTTGTCCACACATGAGTGCCAAATTGACATTGTGCTCTTAGAACTATGCAAACTGCAGTGATCAATAAATAACACTTTTAAAAGCTTGTCCTAGTCAATATTATTCAACTGAAATGTTTACAGTGGCACATTGTTTATAGTATGTGCTGTTTGATTTTTATTTATTTACTTGTTTATTTATTTTACAAACAGAAGATGTAATACTTGTAGAACTGATTATTCTTACTCTTAGGAACTTCACACAGTTTCTTACTCATGTCACCCAAATTAATATTTAAAATAATTATATTTCAAATACAATTACATCATCTTTAATGTAAGTTAAATGTTACAGTTATTATTCTGGTAACCTGATATTCTTGGGCAACTTTAAGCCACCTACTCATTGCACTGTACCAGCTAATGAAGCAGCATAAGAACAGGCTTTTAGAAGGACTTCCATCAACATAAATCTTTTAGCATCCAGGGCATGGTCTGAAAGTACCTTATGCAGTAACTTTATTAAAGCTAAGGAAGTCTACTTCTAGTCAGCGCCAGCATGTGAAGAACATCTGTTAAATTCTGTTACCAATAAAATGTGGAATTGTTGTTGTTCCTTCAAGTTGTTTCCAACTTATAATGATCCTATCATTGAGTTTTCTTGGCAAGTTTCTTCAGATGAGGTTTGCCAGTGCCATCCTGTGAGGCTTAGAGAGTGTGACTTGCAGAAGGTCACTCAGTGGGTTTCCATGACCAAGCTGGGATTCGAACCTTGGTCCCCAGAGTCACAGTCCAATGCTCAAAGCACTAAACCATGCTGTCTCAAATGTGAAATACAAATATAATAAACAAATAGGACCTGCAACAAAATATCACAGTATATGATCAGTGTTTAACCCTTGTTAAGATTCCAGCTAAGCTGTCCTCTAGAATATTGTAATCAGCAGTAGGATAGGGTGGAGGGCTCAACCCAAGCCAGTCTATTACCCTCTCCAGATTTTTCCAGTTTATTTTCAAGATGTCACTCAAGATTTCATTGCCAATAAGCTTGTTCAGTCTCTGCTGTATTTTTTTAAGGTGGTTGTAGTGGAGCAGAGGTGCATCTTCACACTATATATATATTTGTACTTGGGTAAGCCTCAGGTTTGCTGTAGCTCCATATTGGCTTCAATCCTGTCAAATGTAGTCCCTGGTGTGCTTGCCTGAAGACAATTTGTCACTAGAGCCAACAAAAATTAAAATAAAATAAAATAAATCTCCACACCCTTTCATTAAAGGGAATAATAATTATTCACAGCCTAAATCAGACTGTAATTCTGAGGGGGTATCGTAAAGTAGTAATTATCACTCAGATGTTATATTGATGAAATTTTGTCAGTGTCATCATTGATCCCTAAGCATTGAGAAAATCAGCTC